GGGCATAACATATTATCTTCTAGGCCAGGGGACGGGAAAGTGCAGGCGGGTAACAGGAAGAGAGAGATCATCCTCTTGGGGGTGTCAGGTACCCAGGCCTGACCTGCATGAAACTGCAGGCGAACCCAACCTTTTGTGTCTGCCAACAGAGGTCTGCCATGGACCACACACCACCTGATGCCAGGGGCTTGCAGCAGAAAGGTCTCAACAGAAGCAGGAATGGGACGTGAATTCACAGATTTGGATTGACTGGCTCTTACAGCAATTCTTGACCACGCTGCCAACATGCCTTCTTGTGCTGAAGTTATCACCTCCACTATATTAATCCCTTCCTCTCTCTTAGCCTTCTTACAACTTTTCCGAATCCTTGCTGTCTTTGCTGCCATCTTGCATGTTGTCGAACATGGCTGCAATTTGGCCTCTGGTGATATTTTAGGAATATTCTCGTTTATTTCAGAGTAAGCATGTTTCTGGAGCCTCAGATAAACATCTATTTTCCGGCCATCGGTACTCAAATTAAATTGTTGGCACCAGTTCCGCAAAGTATCCCAACGTACTTTATTAACTGGAGGCAAACTGGTTGGCAAAGGAAGGCTTGTTGTAGTGCAACAACTATGTTTTGGACAAGACTTGAATTGTTCACTCATTTGAGAATGACAAACTGAAAAAAGAAGGAAACCAAACCAGTAACTATTTAACATTTGTAAGATTATAATTTAACAAAGTTCTTGCTAATTTCTCACAACTCAATTTGCATATATGTGTGTGTATATGTATATATGTATATATATATATATATATATATATATAATTTTTCCCTTCTATTACAAGTAGAGTAATAGATTCTGTAATGAAAGGACTTTCCCAAGGTCACATCTCCATTAAAATGGCAGACCTGGAACTCAAACCTACATTTTGAAATTCCTAATGCTAGGTTGTTTTACACTACACACAACAACTTGTTTTTTACAGCCATCAACAGCACCTGGGTGGAACGCTTTATTGGATCGCTACTCCAAAATGTCTAGATTTTGAATCCAAACTACCAGTTTTCCCTAGGGAAATCAAAAAAAAGCACCCAAGCACCAATGGTGCTGCATTCTGCCTGCCTGCCTCCTTGTCCTGGGCAGCATCCCATCTCACCTCACTCTGCTCAGGTGTGACCTGTCACTGTTGACTTTGCATTGAAGTCCTCATTCTTGGCCCAGAAAATATAATCATTCTGAAAATACTTATTTGATGCCTTTATGTGAAGCAGAAAGAACAGATTCAAAGGGTCATGACATTAAGAGCTGCTAGATAGTTGAAAAAACAAATTTTTATGTTTATTTTTGAGAGATAGAGCATGTCAGTGTAGGGGGAGAGGCAGAGAGAGAGGGTGACACAGGATCCAAAGCAGAAGAGCTGCTAGATATTTGATCAGCAATTACTTATAAAGCAAAATACTAATTGGAGGAAATGCTGATCAAAGGATACAAATTTTCAGTTATAAGATGAAGGAGTTCTGGGGATCCAATGCACAACATAGTGACTATTGTTTTTTAAACTTTTTTTAAAGATTTATTTTATTTCTAGAGAGAGAGAGAGAGCTCAAGCAGGGGAGGTGGCAAAGGGGGAGGAGAGAGAGAGAGAGAGAGAGACAGAGAATCTCAAGCAGGCCCCACCCTCAGTGCAGAGCCCTCCACTGGGCTCAATCCCACAACCCTGGGATTATGACCTGAGCCAAAATCAAGAGCACTCAACCAACCGAACCATCCAGGTGCCCAGCATAGTGACTATTGTTAACAATATTTGGCTGTATATTTTTTAAAAATGTTTTTAATGTTTATTTTTGAGACAGAGAGAGGGAGAGAGACAGAATCTGAGTGGGGGAGGGGCAGAGAGAGACACACACATACACAGAAGCTGAAGCAGGCTCCAGCCTCCCAGTTGTCAGCACAGAGCTCTATGCGGGGGTCGAACTCACAAACGGTGAGATCATGACCTGAGCCAAAGTCTGACGCTTAACCGACTGAGCCATCCAAGTGCCCCATATGCTGTATATTTTAAAGTTACTGAGCATAGGGAGGCCTGAGTCAATCAGCCAGTTGAGTGCCCAACCTTGGGTTCGTCCCAGGTCATTATGAGATTGAGCCCCACACTGAGAGCACAGAGGCTGCTTGGGATTCTTTCTCCTTCTCAAAATAAAACTTAAAAGAAAAAAAGAAAAAGAAAGTTGCTGAGCGTAAATCTTTAAATGTTCTCTTGAGTGGAGGTGGGGGAGGTAACTGCATGAGGTGACGAATGTGCTAATTAACCTTATTTTGGTAATCATTTTGCAACATAAATGTATATCAATCATCACATTGTACACCTTAAGATTACACAAGGATATAGGATTACATCTCAAAGCTGGAAAAAATCATTTAGTCTTTATAAGAGTATGTAAAATACGTAGTCACCAAATCGAAAGAAGACTGAGCTTTATTTCGAGGTTGGGAATTTAAATTCACATTTAGCTGACTATAAGACCATGCTCTGTCTAAGGCACTTCACACACCCATTTTGTCTTAAAAGCAAGTCAGGGTGCCTAGCAAATGAAGCGCAGGAGTTTGAGAGCTCTCTTACCACAGGTAATCAAGGTGAGATTTAAGGGGAAAAGGAGAAATCCTTTTCCTGGACTTCTGGGAGCTGAGGGAGCAATCCCTTTCCTCATACCTTTATCGTTTGTCCCAGGCTTCTCCAGGCCCACTTCTGAAGTTGAAGAAACGCTTGGTTCCATTTGCTCTTCTCCATTAGGTTCCACATTAACTGGAACCAATGTGAGAACCACAGTTTCTTCCTCTAATGCCTCTGAGAAATTCTGGAAAGGGAAAGGTCAACCACAAATTCTCATTGATGCCATACGACTAAACTGCTTACTTTCAAAGCACCATTAATAAACTCAGAAGCCGATAGGTGGCTGGAGAGAACACGTATGGCGTGTTCTTGAATTTGACGACGACTAGCAGACCCTTTATGAGATAAGAGAAACAGGCGTGCCTGGCTGGCTCAGTCTGCGGAACGTGCGACCCCTGATCTTGGGGTTGTGAGTTCAAGGCCCACATTGTGTGTAGAGATTGCTTGAAAAATAAATAAATAAATGTCAGAGAAACAAAGAGGAAACGGACAAAAGTAGATGTACAGATGGGTGTAGATTAAAGGGTATGTCCCTCAAGGCCTTCCTCTCCTTCAGCTAAAACATCTGCTAAATTTATATGGAATGTTTCTACCTTCCCATCTTCTATCATGATTCCTGATGATTCCCAATTCCAGCTATCATCAACTCTCACTGATAGATGCAATAATTTCCTAATACTCCAAACTCCATTCTTTCTGTAGATTGTTCTCTGCCTTTTCTCTTCTTTTCTTTTCTATCCTTTCTTTTCCTTTCCTTTTCTTTCTTTCTTTCTTTCTTTCTTTCTTTCTTTCTTTCTTTCTTTCTTTCTTTCTTTCTTCTTTTTTTTTGAGAGAGAAAGAGAGAGAGGGGAGCAGGGAGGGGTAGAGGGAGAGGGAGAATCTTAAGCAGGTTACCCATTTGGCATAGAGCCAGAAGCGGGAATAAAACGTGAGATCATGACCTGAGCTAATCAAGAGTAGGTAACTTAACTGAACTGAGCCACCCAGGTGCCCCATCTCGTGCTTTTTAAAAAACACTTCAATGGCTTATCATTGCTATTCAGGTTAAAGACAAAACAGCCACACGTGACCTACTATTTCTGTAGTCTGACTCCTGCCTGCCACCCCAGCTCAAGACCCCTGAGCTTTTTTTTTTTAATATTTTTTTTTAAAGATGGGTATTTTATTTTTACTCTTTATTTTATTTTATTTTATTTTTTTATTTCTAGGAGAGAGAAACAGAGAGACAGCGTGAGCAGGGGAGGGTCAGAGAGAGAGGGAGTCACAGACTGAAACAGGCTCCAGGCTCCGAGCTGGCGGTCAGCACAGAGCCCGACGCGGGGCTCGAACCCACGAACCGCGAGATCATGACCTAAGCGAAAGTCGGAC